GAACCCGCCACCTTAGGTGTACATGGCTGGCGCCTTAGCCGGTTGAGCTATAGGCGCCGAGCCTACTTTTAATTTTTTTACGGGAAGAACTTAAAAATATTTGCATCCTGGCTACGGTGTCACTCCTGTAATTCTAGGACTTTGGGAGGGTGAGGAAGAAAGATTGCTCAGGACCAGCAGTTTGAGACCAGCTTGAGCAATACCCTCTCTACAAAAAAATAGAAAAGTTAGCCAGGTATAGTGGTCATGCCTATGGTTCCAGCTACTAAGGAGGTTGAGACAGGAGAATTGCTTGAGCCCAGGAGTTTGAGGTTGCAGTGAGATATGGTGATGCCACTGCACTCTTGCTCAAACAGAGCAAGACTTTATCTCAAAAAAAAAAAAAAAATGCAAAGCAATCTCAGAACATAATCACTCTGGATTTGATAACTTTTTTTTTTTTTTTTTGAGAGAGAGAGAGAGAGAGAGAGTCTTACTCTGTTGCTTCAAGCTAGAGTGCCATGGTATTGGCCTAGCTCAGAGCAACCTCAGACTCCTGGATTTAAATGATCCTCCTGCTTCAGCCTCTCCAGTAGGTGGGACTAAGGGAGCCTGCCACAATGCTTAGCTTATTTTTCTATTTTTAGTAGAGACAGGACCGCACTCTAGATCAGACTGATCTTCAATATCTTGACCCCCAGTGATTCTCCCATCTCAGCCCCCCTAGACTGCTAGGATTACAGGCAAGAACCACTGCACCCAGCCTAGATTTTATAACTTTTCCCTCTACTATTACAGTTGTCTCCTATTCAATAATGATTTTTTAAGATGTCGTTACCAACACTTAGTTATCAAAGCTTCCATTCAATTCTTTGTTTTCAAACTCATGTTCCATTATTTAACATATTAAATCAAACAATTTACTTATTAAAAGTAAAATTGTAAGGCAGACTTTCAGAAAGAAGTCAATGACTCTCAACACACAGACAACTCATGATGGGACTGGGATCTGGAGACAGTCGTGGTGGGATGTTCCAGAGAGCAGCCTCACGACCATGAAGTTCAGATGTTTTTTGCATTAGTTTTAGAAGAAAATAGAAGGATTAATCTGCTAGATTTTTGTATGGAATGGTTAAAAGAGAGCTTCAACTGCACTTAAACAAAAGCAGTCTCTGGGAATCCAAGTCAACGTCTATTCCTTTCTTGCTCTCACAACCCACATTCAGTCATTTAGGAAACCCTCTGGGCTCCACTTTCAAAACATGCCCAGAATCCCACCATTTTTCATCACTTTCCTACCCTTGTCCTGCCTCAGGCCCTCATTATGCCACATCTGAGCTATTACAACAAACTCCTATCTTGCTACCATACTGTTCTTTCTCAACACAGAAGCCAGAGTGATCCTTTTCAAACATAGGTCTTATCTCTGTTTTGTTCAAAACCCTCCAAATGGTTCTTCAACTCTCAGGGTAGAGGCCAAAGTCCCTACAT